CTTGAGCTCAGGAGATCGAGACCAGCCTGGGCAAAAAAAAGAAACCCTGTCTCTACTAAAAATACAAAAATTAGCTGGGCGCAGTGGCAGGTGCCTGTAATCTCAGCTACTCAGGAGGCTGAAGCAGCAGAATCACTTGAACCTGGGAGGCAGAGGTTGCTGTGAGCCGAGATGGTACCCGAGACGGTACCACTGCACTCCAGCCAGGGCGATAGAATAAGACTCCGACTCAAAAAAAAGAATGGAGGAATCCATTTGTCTGGGGTTCGTTCATGGCCTCCTGCAGGGCTTCCAGGCTGAGACCACTCCCTTTAGGTGGACCCCAGCATGGCATCCCTTGGATCTTCCAGAAGGCTGTCCTACCAAGACTGGCGTCCTCTAGCGATCTTGTCTCCATTATTAGACCCACAGAAACTCTTGGTCCCAGCCAGGCAGGGTGGCTCACACCTGTAATCCCAGCACTTTTGGAGGCTGAGGTGGGCGGATCATTGGAGGTCAAGAGTTCCAGACCAGCCTGGCCAACATGGTGAAACCCCGTCTCTACTAAAAATACGAAAATTAGTTGGGTGTGGTGGCAGGTGTCTGTAATCCCAGCTACTCGGAAGGCTAAGGCAGGAGAATCACTTGAACTAGGGAGGCGGAGGTTGCAGTGAGCCGAGATCATGCCACTGCACTCCAGCCTGGGCAAGAGCGAGACTCTGTCTCAGAAAAAAAAACAAAAAACAAAACAAAACAAAACAAACTTTTGGTCCCTGGTGTTCCCCGGCAAGCCTGGCCGAGGACGTGACGCTGGATGTTGGCCTCTAACTGGAAGGCGACTTGAGGCTCTTGGGGGAGAGAGAACCCCAATTAAGGGTTCAAACCCTACCCAGAGATCCTAGACAAATCCCTTTTGTGGAACCTTTTTTTTTTTTGTTTTGAGACAGAGTTTCATTCTTGTTGCCCAGGCTGGAATGCAATGGCACGATCTTGGCTCACCGCAACGTCCGCCTCCAGGCTTCAAGTGATTTTCCTGCCTCAGCCACCATAGTAGCTGGGATTACAGGCACGCACCACCCCCCCCAGCTAATTTTTTTTTTTTTTTTTAGTAGAAATGGGGTTTTACCATGTTAGCCAGGCTAGTCTCGAACTCCTGACCTCAGGTGATTTGCCAGCCTCGGCTTCCCAAAGTGCTGGGATTACAGGCGTGAGCTACCGTGCCTGGCCCCAACTAATTTGTTTTTGTAGAGAAGGGATCACACTGTGTTGTCCAGGCTGGTCTCAAATCCTGGCTTTAAATGATGCTCCTGCCTCGGCCTCCCAAAGTGCTGGGACTGTGGCTGTAAGCCATCACGCCCAGCCCCCTGTTCTTACCCACAGTTGCAAGTGGTAGCCCCTGGTCACCCCTGTGGGCCCTGTGTTCTCTGGCTGTCTCCCACCCTGCCTGACTTACCTTTGTCCCCCTAGATGCCTGTGGCCTCTCGGACCCGGCCCACGTGGAGAGCCTGCAGGAGAAGGCGCAGGTGGCCCTCACCGAGTATGTGCGGGCGCAGTACCCGTCCCAGCCCCAGCGCTTCGGGCGCCTGCTGCTGCGGCTGCCCGCCCTGCGCGCAGTCCCTGCCTCCCTCATCTCCCAGCTGTTCTTCATGCGCCTGGTGGGGAAGACGCCCATTGAGACACTGATCAGAGACATGCTGCTGTCGGGGAGTACCTTCAACTGGCCCTATGGCTCGGGCCAGTGACCGTGACGGGGCCACGTGCGCTGTGGCCAGGCCTGCAGACAGACCTCAAGGGACAGGGAATGCTGAGGCCTCGAGGGGCCTCCCGGGGCCCAGGACCCTGGCTTCTCTCCTCAGACTTCTATTTTTTAAAGACTGTGAAATGTTTGTCTTTTCTGTTTTTTAAATGATCATGAAACCAAAAAGAGACTGATCATCCAGGCCTCAGCCTCGTCCTCCCCAGGACCCCTGGCCAGGATGGAGGTAAGGGATGGAGGGTCCAATCCTGGGACAGCCTTGTCCCTCGGCACCCCAAGCATGAACTTGTGGGATGGTAGGGTAGGCTTCCCTGGCATGATGGACAAAGGCCTGGCGTCTGGGCCGGAGGGGCCGCTCCAGTGGGCAGGGGTAGCTAGCGTGTGCCAGGCAGATCCTCTGGACACGTAATCTATGTCAGACACTACATGATGACTCAATCAAGGCCAATAATAAAGACATTTCCTACCTGCACAGCCTCCCTGGTCTTTTTTTTTTTGAGACAGAGTCGTACTTCGTCACCCAGGCTGGAGCGCAGTGGCGTGATCTCGGCTCACTGCAACCTCTGCCTCACAGGTTCAGGCGATTCTCCTGCCTCAGCCTCCCCAGTAGCTGGAACTACAGGCACCCACCACAATGCTCAGTTAATTTTTTTCTGTATTTTTGGTAGAGATGGGGTTTCACCATGTTGACCAGGTTGGTCTCGAACTTCTGACCTCAGGTGATCCACCACCCCTGCCCTTGGCCTCCAATAGTGCAGGGATTACAAGCATGAGCCACCGCGCCTAGCCTCACTTAATTATTTTATTCGGTTGGCTCTTAATCTGTTTTTTTTTTTTTTTTGCGATGGAGTTTCGCTCTTTCACCCGGGCTGGAGTGCAGTAGTACAGTCTTGGCTCACTGTAACCTCTGCCTCCCAGGTTCAAGCAATTCTCCTGCCTCAGCCTTCTGAGTAGTTGGGATTACAGGTGTGCACCACCACGTTCAGCTGATTTTTGTACTTTATAATTAGAGATGAGGTTTTGCCATGTTGGCCAGGCTGGTCTCGAACTCCTGACAGGTGGTCCACCTGCCTTGGCCTCCCAAAGTGGTGTGATTATAGGCATGAGCCACCACACCAGGCCCTTAATCTTGTTTGGGTTCTGATGTCCTTGGGAGAAACCTCGGGGGCCAGTCCTGTCACATGATCTCAGGCCAGCCAATCAGACCACCATTCCGTGGGCCACAGCAACTGGTTTATGGAGCGCCTGAGATTCCAAACTAGCCAGTGAGATTCCACAGCAGGATTTGGAACTGGGAGAATCTAATTAAAGCAGAGCCAAGGATGGAAGATCAATTTCCCAAGATGCCTTTGGAGCCCCTGGATCAAGCCATACCTGAAACCCTTAGGTGTTTTAAGTTCTATGAACTCAGTCGTCCCCCTTTTGTGCCTGAGTCAATCTGACTTCAATTTTTTTTTTCCTCACATGGAACTAAAAATCTGTTTCAGAGATTGACGTTTGGGAGGCAGGGACCTAGAAGGCCAAGACTTTGAAATGTGGGCTTCACTGGGTGATACGGAATCATGAGGGGTACCAGGGACTCTCCCGTCCCAGCCTCGGGAGTCTGTGGCACCGCTCTGTGGTGGGAAAGGCACCTGTGGAATTGGGCACCAGAGCTGTAGGGGGGTAGAGAGAAAGGGCCCGAATGGTGGTGGGGGTGGCACCTCTCGCTGATGTCCTGCCAAGAAGAGGCAAGTCCTCCACCAAAGATGCCCTTCTGTAGCCAGGCGTGGTGGCAGGAGCCTGTAATCCCAGCTACTTGGGAGGCTGAGGCACGAGAGTCACTGGAACCTGGAAGGCGGAGGTTGCAGTCAGCTGAGGTTGCACCACTACACTCCAGTCTGGGCGACAGAGGGAGACTCTGTCTCAAAAAAAAAAAAAAAAAAAGATAGCCTTGTGAAAACAGCAAGGGAAGAAGTCAAATCTGTCATGCTGCTTGCCGGGCCAGTGCTCAGCCCTTATGCAGCCCCAGTTTGCCAAAATGGTCCCCAGTCTCCCCATGTCCATCTGGAAGACAGCCTTGGAAGATGAGAGATTAGGCCCCTCCTGCGGAGTCAGTGAGGGTCTCTCGCGGGCAGGTTCCCAGAAGGGAACTGAGGCAGGGGCGGGATGGAGAGGACACCAGGTTCCCATTGAAGGCTGCACTGGGTTCTGCATTAGGCCAGGGTTTCCCACAGTGTCCCGTGAGTGAGTGGGTCCATGTCTACAATCAAACTGGACAGCAAGGTCCCATTTATCTAATGCATGGGACATCTGAGGGTTGAGTGAGACCATGGTGTCCTGCTGTTTGGCCCCAGGCCAGAGATCTGGATGTCTGTCCAAGGCCTGACTGCCGAACTCCTACTTTTCCTACAAAACCCTACCCACATGGCCCTTCCTGCAAGACGAGATCTTGAGCCTCCCTGGCTATTAAGACTCTGCTGTGCAGCCTTCTGTTACTGGACTCAGGGCTATCTTCCCCAGATTAGGGCCTTCTTGAGGACAATCGTGGTGGCTGAGTGGTTGACACTGTCTTCCCTGCATGTAATTGGTCTTCCTGGTTGCTTCTGTCCCCTGTGGCTCCCTTGGGAGACTAACACTCAGAGGACAGCTTCTGGTCTGCTGTTACATGGCCCCCATGGGGAGACTGGCTCCACCTGTGCCCCACCCGTCACAGCCAGGGCCTGGGATGGGTCGGACACTGGAAGGTCCTCCCCCTAGGCCATGCATATGGACGTGCCCACACAGTGCCTGGGGTCAGCTGCTGTCCTGAAGTGCCCAGGGAGACACAGAATGGAGGAATCCAGCTGGGTGTGGTGGCTCATGCCTGTAACCCCGGCACTTTGGGAGGAGGAGGTGGTGGGCAGATCACTTAAGGTCAGGAGTTCGGCACCAGCCTGGCCAACATGGTGAAACCCTGTCTCGGCCGGGCGCGGTGGCTCAAGCCTGTAATCCCAGCACTTTGGGAGGCCGAGACGGGCAGATCACGAGGTCAGGAG